GCGGCGGCGGCGGCGGCGGGCGGGGTCGAGGCGGCGCCGCGCGGGCCCGGGCGGCAGCGAGCGCGCAGGAGCGGCAGGCTCGGGCTCGCAGGCGGCTGCGCTCCCACCCGGCCTGGCTCCCTCCCGGCGGTGGCGGCGGCGGCGGCGGCGGCAACGGCGGCGGGTCCCGGCCTCGGCTCTGAGCGCCCGCGCTCCCGGCGCCCGCAGCCAACAAGTTCGGGACGAGACTGACAGCTCGCTCGCCCATTCGTCACCCGCGTACCTGCATATGCATGAGGGGGCGGGGCCCAGACGTGGGGTGGGGCTGGGGGGGCCGGGGGCGCCGGGGCTTTAAAGGCAGCTGAGGGTGCCTCCCGCCAGCGCCCAGCCCGGCGCGCGCTTCCCAGGACGCTGGAACCGCAGGGGCTCCGCTGACTCTTTGGCCAAGCCTGTCGAGCGGGGCTGGCGCCCAAAGAGTCCTCTGCTCGCCAGAGCCCCGCCGGGTGTCAGGAACCAGGGGGTGGGGCGCCCCCTGAGGTCACTGCCGTGGTCCCCTCCCATCAGTGCGCCGCTGCTGCGCTCCTAGCAGTCCCCGAGGAGAGATGCCACCTCCTGCACAAATCAGGGCTCGGCCCCCACGCGGGGCGGGCACGGCCTGGGACCTGGGCAGGGCCCAACCTACTGTGCTCCCCCCTTCCCAGGGGAGGGTCCCCCCTCAGCACCGCTCCCACCGCCTCCATCCGACCGCAGGGGGCGCTGCTCCCCGCCGACTCCCCGGCCCTCCCTGCCGTAGGACTCGCGGGTGGGGCAGCCAGGCAACAAATGTTCCCAGGCGAAGGCTGTGTCCAGCTGCGCGCTGGCACAGGGGTCACCACAACACGCTCCAGGAATGCCCAGGCCAGGGTCCGGACTTCGGCAGGGCCAATGAAGGACGGTGCTGCACACCCAAAAGGACTAGACGAAGGCCACCCAAAGAGGCTCCTCCTACTGTCCTGGTCGCCAGGCCCCTCGTCCCACCTTGTTGCCATACCTCCACGGAGTCAATACCAAGAGCTCCTTGACTCCAAACATCACCTCCCCTCCACCTAGCAGGGTCCCTCCCAGGAATGGTGATCACCTTGACTGTTGGGGATCACCATATGCTCCACAGGGGTCTTCCCCACTCCCGCACTGGACCGTGTTCTTTCTCATGGATCCTCCAGCACATTTGCCCCAGGCCCTGGGCTGGGTGCTGGGAGTGCAGGCCTGCTACCTGGCATTAGTCATTGTCACAGTTAGGGGCACGGAAGGCTTCCTGGAGGAAGAGCTTTGAAGGAGACTGGTTCAGGGGCTGGGGGTGGGCAGAAGAAATTCAGGAGCACTGACAGTGCCCTGTACCTTGAGGATGTTCTTGAGGCACCCCCCAAAGGGCCCAGTGCCCTGGGAATGGATGCTACCACTCACCCCCACCCCAGTTTCATCGCCCTGCCCCTGCTGAGCAGCCCTCTCCAGGATCCAGGCCTCAGGAGCAGCTGGGGGCCCCTGAAGGGATGGGCCTGGCTCTGCTCATTCCAAGAGGTCATCCCTACCTGAGCCCCTCTGTAAGCTGGGAGGGGGCAGGACACAAGCCAGGCACCTCCACACACAGAAACCCTGCCAAATAAGAGCCCATGAGCTGTGCTCAGAGCACCCCTTTCTTCCTGCAGGGGTGGGGATTCCCTGTGGAGGTCCTACTCCTTGCTCTGGCCTGGAGCAGGTACTCTAGGACCCAGGAGGGAAGAGGAGCCCCCAGTTCCAGGCGTCCACGGGTCCATTCCTGCCTGTCCCTGCTCATGCCCACTACCCCACTTTCCATGGAGGCTCCAGGTACCTCTGCCCTGCTATCAGTGAGGCACTGAACAAGGCATACAGTCCCCGCCCACCCTCAGGGTCAGGTGTAGACAGAGGACTTACAGGAACAATGTAGAGTGACAAACTGCAAGGGTGAAGAAGGTGGACAACCCAGGGAGGGGCCCTGAAAGACAGAGGGCAGACAAGGGCCAGCCAGGTGAGCAGCTGGGATGGTACATGCAAAGGCCCTGGGGCCAAGGCAGCCTGACTCTAGTGAGGGCCTGAGAGACACATGGCCAAGGCAGAGGGGTTGAAGGGCATAGGTGAGGCTTGAGGGCGCCTGGCTGAGCTGGGCCTCCCTGACTACAGTCTTCCTGCTAAGACCAACGGGAAGTCACAGAAAGCAGCTGAGCTGGGTTGGGCTCCACGTTGTGACTTACATTTTCACAAAGATCCCTGGCTGCGGGGGAGGGGCAGCGAGGGTGAGGTTGGCAGGGAGGCCCTAGGTAGCCACTGCCACGGCAGGGGAGAGGGGCCAGTGGCTGGATGGGGCCTGGAGGTGGAGGGGCTGGCTGGGGAATTCCAGTGTCAGAGAAAAGTCCCCGTGTGCCCCTCCCTCACCCACCTCCCGAGCTTTCTCCTCCCGGCCAGCTTTGGGTGGGGGGGTGTGGGGGGAGGACAGCCCAGGCTCTGCCGCCATCCAGAGCTACTGTGTTTGAGACCAGACTCTTTCTCTGATGGGAAGCACCAGTGATGGACGCTCATGGCATCTCAATATCCCAGCTCGACCTGTCAGGAGACAGCCTCTCTGGGGCCTGCCCTGCCTCAGGGGGGATGGGAGGCCCTGCCTGCCCTGCAAAGCTAGGGAGACAGTGGCCTGGGCCATCGGCCTCCCTCCAGACCCTTTTGGAAGGGACTGAGGTCCCCTTGGGCAGAACAGCTGGGTGAGCATCGAGGTGATACTGGGGTCAGCTGACCCAGGACGCATGTCTGGGGGCAGGCTCCCTGCCTCCCTGTCCCGGGCACCATCCTACAGGCGCAGAAGCCCCTTCCTGCTCCCTGTCCCCTGTCCCCTCCTGCCTCCTAGGAGCCAAAGCCCAGACCTGAGGGTGCCAGGGAGAGGTCCAAGCCAGGAAGGTGGCCGCTTCACAGGAGGGGCGGGCACCCCTCCCTCTGAGGTGCCCCTGCAGGGATTTCTGCAACCTCGGGCCAGAGGGCTGGGGTCAGGGTTCTGGCCTCCAGTCTTGCCAGGCTGTCCTGCCTCTTTCACGAAGGCCCCCATCATTATTCTGGGGTCCGCTGAGCCACAGCACTCCTCAGATCCCAGTTCCACAGGCCCCGGGGCCTAGGGCTCCCACTCTGACCTCCCAGCCCCAGGGGCTCTCCTGGGCATGCCTTGAGGTGAGCGATCAGCGTGGGCTGGACACAGCATGAGTGGGTTGGGGTAACTCAGCCTGGCCGAGGGGCTTCGGGCGAGCTGGGGTGCAGGTTGCTGGGGTTTGGAGAGAGCCGGCTGGGCTCAGGAGTGAGCTGTGCTTCCGCCTGCTGCGCGGTGCTAAATATAGCGGCCAGGGAGGGGAGTTTCCGGTTACAGCCCCCCCACCAGTGCCGGGAAATCGATGCCAGTTCCATTAGGCTCAGCAGCAGGGCTTGCTGACCTGCCCCCAGGCTGCAAAGTGAGGGGGCTGGGCTGCACCCAGGTCCAGGGACCCTGCGCTCCACCCCTGCCCAGCCAGTTCAGAGCCCAGCACGTGCCCCAGGGCAGAGAGCCCCCAGTCCCCGCCAGATGCCCTGCAGGACAATGCGGGGGACAGCGAGAGAGCCCGTGAGCACTAGGGTGGGCATCAGGCAGGCTGTAGGGAGGCAGGCAGGGCAAAACAGCTCTTGGCTGGGCACAGCTGGCCTGGGACAGTTCTCAGATGAGCGGGCCCGGGCAGCCTGCTGGGGTCTCCTCGGACAGAGTGGGGCTGCAGTACTCGGGACCTCATGGCAGCCCAGTCCTGCTGGCCCCTTGGACACACACCACAGGCCCACGGGCCCCTCCCTAGCAGCATGGCACTCACCTGGCTGGGCTCCCAGGAGGCCCCACCTGGGTCACGGCCAGCATTTGCATACAGGTGGTGCTGCTTGGGTGGGTCAATTGGGCACAGCCTCCTCCGGACAGCCTCGAATGCCAGGCCCCAGGCTGGGCTGCCGTGGCTGGGCTCGGCCACAAGCCCTCCCCAGGCCTACAGGCAGGGAGGGACCTGGGCTTACAAACCACCTGCCTGCCTGCCTGGGGTCGGCCAGGGGAAGCACACGAGGGCAGGTGCACCTTGGCCCCCATGAGGTGCCCCCACCTGACAAAGGGGTCCCAGCAGGAGCTGAGGCAGCCATGTCCTGCCCCCATGTCTTCCACAGTCACAGCCCGGGGCCCAGTCCCAGGAACACTGGGGCCCAGAACACTACGCCAGGTCCACAGGGAAGCTCCTGGCCCCTCCAGCTCCCCGGTCCCTTCCCCTCTCTGGGGACAGCACCCCCTGGATACCTTGCCTTCCCCAGGGTCAGGGGTCCATGACCCATGCTTCCCCAACCTGTCCCCCAGGGCAACATCCGAAGGGCTGACCAGAGGGTTTGGTGTGCTCTGGAGAATGGCCAGGCCAGGCTACCACCCTAAGAAAGGGTCATGTTGGGCCCCCACCCCAGGCTGATGCCTGTGACCATGGTGACCAGCACATACTCCCCACAGTGGGCTCCAGCACCCCCGTGACGGATGGAGCCTTCCAGGTGCCAAGCCCTCCTGTGACCCAAGTATTCCAGGAGGACTGACGGCAGCCCACGCAGCCTGACCCTCCCGATGGGCTGGGGCTTCATGGCCACACACACAGACCGGGCAGGTGGAGGGACATCACAGACCCCTGCAGCCCAGGGACACGGGCTCTGTGGGAACCAACACCTGGGTAGGGGACCTCACTTCCCCAGAAGCAGGGAGCATGTCTTCCAGAATGCACAGCCCACAGTTCTGTGCCCCCCACCCCACCCCAACAGACTGGCTCAGTCACCGCCCCTGAGGTCCTAGCTCCCTCTGGCCTGGTGCCCAGTGGGCCCATCCCCTCCTATCCTGCCCGTCCACATAGCCACAGCCGAGGCTTCTGCTGCCCGGAGCTGAGGGGCCCTCTGGACAGCCCCCGCCCGTTACAGCTCGGAACTGGTGGACACAAGCTGGAGCTATATATGAGCCTTTATTAGGTCTGCAGGACGGGGGGCTAGGACCAGCCCACACCCAGACCCTCTGGCGTGTCACTGGCGACGAAGGCCAGGGGCCACACAGTTGAGGAACCAGGAGATACCAAAGATGACGCCGAGGGTCTTGGGGATATCCGGGTTGTCCGAGAAGGCCTGGGCGTCTCCCAGGGGCAGGTGCACGACCTCGATGAGCTCACCCTCCTCAGCCAGGCCCCCGCCAGGGCCACCCCGCTGGGCATCTGTCACCTCTGCATAGAACATAGTCTGGCTGGAGCCGCTCAGTCCCACGCCAGCCCTGTGGGTCGAGAGAGCATCAGCTGAGCCACCGTGCAGGCCCCCAGCCTGCTCCGCTCGGCATCTTCCAGCCCTCTGGGGGACAGGCCTCCAGGAGGCACCCCCACCCGCGGACAGGCTGGTCTTGAAGACAGAGCCAACTGCCAAGCTGTGGGGGCACGGGGCCAGGGCCTGCCCACCTGGAGGAGCTGACCATGGTCCCGGCCAGTAGCTAGCCAGGACACAGGGCTTGTCACACAGCCACAGCCGCAGGAGCTGGGAAGAGGACCTGAGCCGTAGGGTGGACAGTAGACCCGGCCTCCACCCTGACCGCAGCCTTCAGAGACCCTGAGGGGCAGCCCCAGGCTGTGGGTAGTTGCAGCTATTCAGCCTCAGCAGGTGGTCTGGAGCATGCCCCCCCCTGCCCTCTGTGCTGGGCCCTCAGCCAGGGCCTCCTTCCCCACAGCAGACAAATAATCACAGTCCCCGCAGCCCAGGCTGCTGAGGTGTGTGCCGGACCCACACCCACACCCAGGGATCCAGGCTGGCTGCAAGCAGGCATGGCCCTGGGAGAGCTCCCCGCACCGTCACCTGCAGGACAGCAGGTGCCAAGGCAGCCCGTGTGAGGGGCTGGGCTCCTGGTGGTGGGGCGGGAGGATGGCAGGGTCCCCACGACCAAGCCCACGAGTCCTAGGCCGGAGAGGAGTGTGGGAGAGTCCCCCTCTCAGAAGAGGCTACTAGCCACCAGGAGGGAGACAAGCATTCAGGCAGAGGACAGTGGCCCTGACTGGCGGGTGGAGGGCAAGATGGGCAGTGTGGGGACTGCTGACTGTGAGGACAGGGTGGGGACAAGCCGGTCTGGACAGCAGACGGAGGGGAAGGCCGGAGCAGTCTGCAGGGACAGAGGAAGCCAAGGTGCCGAGGATAAAGGAGATTCCGGGTCAGCCGCGCTGCCCTTAGAGACGCACCCGACACACAGGGCAGGGGGCAGAACGGAGGGGTTTCCATCCCACCCCCAGGAGGGGCCCCCACTCAGACAGCTCACCCAGCTGCTTCCTCTGCCCTCCATCCCCTTATCTCCCTCAGACCCTTCCTGATGGCCCGTTTCCGCCGGCGGCACGGCCTGCCCTTTGATGGCAGCCCGTCTGTGGGGTTCCCAGTCCCGGTTTCCTCCAGCGTGGGAGGGAGACAGGCGTGGCCTCTCTGAGTGTGCCCAGCCAGCAGGGCACGGCCTCCCCCTCACTCAGTGGTTTCCATAGGTAGCTGATCGCAGACGAGTGGCTGGGCCTATCCCCTGGGACTGGCAGGTGCGTGGCCAGGCTCACCCCGGGCGACGGAGAGGAAGCCGAAGGCCTTGCCACAGGGCCGCGCGAGCTCTGCCGTCTGTCCAGCCCTCCTGAGGCCCCCAGGGACAACAGCCCTAATCGCCACTCCAGCCCCACTCTAGTCCCTCGGCTCCAGAATACATGCCTGAGCAGGCTGCTCACTGTCCACAACCTTCCTTGGCTCCCCAGCACCCTCGGGATCAGGCCATAGCCCAGAGCCTCTACTGTGCAGCCCCTCTGCCAGACACCCCACCAGGCTCACCCCAGGGCAGGGGCAACCCCTCCAGGGTACCTCCCACTTGCCTTCCTCCTTGCCTGCCCCGTGGCCCAACCCCTACCCCGAGGCAGGCCCCTCTGGGACAGGAGTCTCCCCATCCAGCAGGCTCAGGGGACAGGCAGCCACTGGCCAGCCACATGAGGAGACCTGCAGAACACCAAGGCCTCACACCAAGACATCCAACGCTTTGGCATGGAAATCCTCACCCTGTGTTTAACAGGTAGTAGTACTCTGTAGCTCACCTCCTTCCTGGGACTGGAGGTCACCTCCAACCCAACAACTGTAGGCTGGGGTCCCAACTAGGTCCTGGGGGCTGCTGATGCAGAGCAGGCCCTGGCCCAACACTGAGGGGCCCCTGCACTGGGCTGAGAGAAGGCAGGGCCCCCACATTGGGGCCCTCCTCCTGCCCGGACTCCCCTGAGGGCAGGACCCATCGCAGTGCCCCCAGGGCAGGGGTGCGCTTCACCCCAACATCCTGTCCTAGAAAGATGGCCCCAGCAGTGGGCCCCATGGGGAGTGTGCAGTGGGGGCACCTGGTCCTCGGAGGGGCCGGTCCTGAAGTGCAGTGTCCAGGCAACACCTCCCCTCCCCAGGAGGGCTGGGGCCCCTCCAGCCCAGAACTCTGCCTTTCTCTCATTCCTGGGCCACTGTCAGAGCGGATCTGTGACTCACCCCACCCCCAGCGCCCGGTGCTTAATCCCACAGGAAGCGGAGGCATCTGTCAGCAGCAGCTGCCACCAGGCCAGCCCCACCAGGCTAGGGCCACAGGATGGGGGCATGGGCCCAGCATGCCCCAGGACCAGCTCCAAGAGCCCCAAGTTCTGGCCTGGATCACGATCTGGGTGCATTCCATCCAACCTTCCCCCTACCCCATGACGAAAACAAGGAGACACTGCCCTGCTTGCACACCCCTGGGGACGGGGCGCTCACTGCCTGAAGGCAGCCTGTCCCATCCCCTGGGCAGCGCTGAGGCAGGATGCCCTTCCCTGGCCCAGCCCACTCACTTGTAGATGGCGACCCGGCGCAAGTCCGTCGGGGTCAGGTGGTAGCCGCACTCCTCCCAAGCCTCCTTGCAGGCCACCTCCTCCAGCGACAGCCCGGGCTGGTCCACGAGGCCGGCGCACAGCTCATACGTCACCCCCGCCGAGCCTGGCAGTGCCTCCGGCAGCACCCGGGGTCTGTCCTGGTCCACGGCAGCCAGGGACCCTGGGAAGCGGCGCTCCACCTCGCCCACGTACACAGCTGGGGGTGGCAGACAGTGGTCACAGCCGCATGGCAGCCACCTCCTTGTAGGCCCGGCCTCAGTTTCCCCTGGGGCCCCTGACCCTAGGACCACAGGACCTGAAAGGTGCTGCCTCCCGCACACCTGCCCTGGCCGCCTCACCTGGCCGGAACTGCTTCACCAGCACCAGGCTGCTCTGCGAGGAGTTGAACAGGAGAATCGTCACGCTGCGGGCGGGCGGGCGGGCGGGCGGGGGACCAGGCTCAGCACAGAAGCACCTCCACCTCGCCTCCCTGGGGCCCTGTCCGGCATTCCCAGCCCACCCCTTCTCCCCAGCAGGGAAAACCGGGAAAACTGGGTCCCTTGCTCAGATGGGGAGAGTGAGGCCCGGGCAGGGCCGGAGCCTGTCAGGATCACCCAGTAAGCTAGGACCCAGGGGAAGGATAGGGCCGTGGGGTGGGGAAGACATGTTTGGAAGTTGGGGGCCGGGTGACTGACATGACATGTGGTAGCTGTTGGCCAGCTGCCTGCTGACCACACCCCTGGAGCCATGTCACTGTCTGGCCCTTACCCCAGTAATCGGGAGCAAGGTCACCCAGACAGCCTCTCGCAGGTCCAACGGGGACCCAGCTCAGCCTCCAGGCCCTGGGGCGACCCTCCGTGAAGGCAAAGGGAGAGTGGGGGTGTTCGTGGGGGGAACACAAATGCGGAAGCAGGGCCCCCAGGGGCAGGGTCACCTGTCATGTGTCTTCATGAAGTCCCACGACTTCTGGGTGCCATTCTGAAAGAGGCAGCATGGCAGTCAGGACGGGCAGAGGGCCACCAGCGCAGGGGGCAGTGCTCTGGGGAGCTGAGGAGGCCAGACAGACCCGAGGAGGCCCACAGCCTGGGCCCTTGGAGCCGGAGCTCTTGAAGGTGGGGGAGGGGAGCAGCTGGGTTCTGCAGGGTGAGACAGCAAACCAGGGCGAAGGAAGAAAAGGTGTCCCAGGCACAGCAAGAGCATACCCAGCACGGGTTAAGCACAAGGAGCTGCAAAGATGTACGCTGCCACCAAGTGTGGGAAGGACCGTGGCGGCAGGGGGGAGGGGCAGGCATGCCCTACCTCACCATCAGGGCAGGGAGGGCCCCAAGGGGGCAGAGCAGAGACCAGGTTTCCATTGATGAAGGTCCCACAGGTGACTGGGAAAAGGGAGGTGGGCGGGCAGGAGGGCAGGCCAACCTCCTGAGAGAGCACCAGCCCTAGGAGCAGCTGGGGTGGGGTGGCACCCAAGCAGGGTGGGGGATCATATGCAGGACGTGGGGACTCAATGATGGTAGCTGAATGGTGGGACAACCTCTCCCCTGGCCCAGTTTCTATCCCAGGTTGTCTCATGCATCCTGGGGTCCTGCATCCCTGCCCTGGGCACCCTGCCGCAGAGGTCTGCCAGGGCTCTGGGAAGCACTCAGTATATGCAGGAGGCAGTGTGACAGGGGCCTGGGCTGAGCCCACTGGGACAGGCAGAATAGACACCAATGGGGTTCCCGCAGGGGAGTCGGAGATGCCCAGAATCCTGCCGGCTGGGCACCACTAGGTGAAACGGGCCAGCCCACCCAGCCCAAGGGGCCTCTGTGGATGGGGCTGGACCCTGGGGCCTTGGGGCTCCGCCCTGAGACTGCCCATCAGCAGCCCCTCAGTCACTGGTCAACCCAGGGCCCTGGTGAACTGCTGGCCCCACCCTTGGGGTTTGTCAAAGCCCCGAAATGGACACGGACCTGAGCACCAAGGGCACTCAGGGGCAGTCTCTGTGAGAAGTTCCTGGAGGAGGTGACATCACACCAGGCCCCATAGAAATGAGGAAAAGGCATTCCAGGCAGGGGCACCTCAAAGACAGAGGCCCCCATGCTGGTCCCCGCAGAGTTGGGAAAAGTGGTCTGAGCTTGGCCTAGAGACAGAGGTGTCCTGGAAGGGTGGTGGCAGCCTCGGTTTCCAAGGGGCAGGAAGGACTGATGTCCTGTGGTCGCAGGCTGGGCTGCCTGGTAGGCTGTTCCCAGGTACTGCCCCCAGAAACAAGCCCAGGCCTGCCTGCAATCTGGCCACCCCGAAGCCAGCCACCCACCCAGAACAGGCTCCAAGGAAGGCCTGCCCCCAGTGTGCCATGTGCCTGCTGTGCCCACTGCCTCCCTCAGGGAACGTGCCACCTGTGCAGGGCTCAGGGACCCCTTGGCTCAAGATCAGACATCTGGCAGACCTTTAGGTCCAGCCAAGGCAGGGTGCAGGGGAAGGTCTGAGGCCTGCCCCAGACCTGGCTCATCTTTCAGGGGCCTGGGAGGGAGGGACAGGGTTGGAGTCCACACAGTCTTCTCCTCAGCCACAGGGGTACCCTATTTCTGGTCCGTCTGTCCACCAGATCACCCCTGGCCAAGGTAGCTAATGACCAAAAGCTCTAGATGCCCTGGGTGGCATGCACTGCCCAGCCCAATGTCCCTAGCCCCACAGCTTGTGCCCATCACAGCCTCGTGGCTCAGCTCTGGTCACCAGCACCCATCAGTGGGAATGTCCTAGCAGATGCCCACCAGCACTGCTGCCCTTCACAGAGGGTGGGAGAGGGGGCTGCAGCCACAGCCCAGCAGGTGTGTGCCTAGGCCACCTTGTGCCTACTGACACCCAGAGCCCCACCCCCTTGGGAATGAGCAGCCAGTCAGGCATCCTGCCCTAGGCCAATGTCAGGGAGGAGGGCAGCGACCTCCATGTTCCCACACTCTGTCCCTCCACTGACCTGTGCTCCTGCCCCAGGCCACCCTGCTAACGTGGGTCCACCCTGGAGCCAACAGGGCCCCAGCAATGAGGGAGTGGGGGGTGCCGGGGCCTCTCTCAGGCTGGGCCCTAGGAGGCTTCACAGGGTCAGTGAGAAGAAGGGGCCTGGAGAGGACAGGAAGGACAGGACGCTGCAGGTTGAGGAGCACCCAACACCGTGCTGTCTGAGAGGGGCAGGAGCCCCAGCAGGAGGCAGCGAGCTGGGGGGCAGGTGGAGCTGGTAAGTGAGGGTGGGGACTCTAACTGGACAGAGCAGGTCCTGGAGACAAGGGGAGCGGGAGGCACCAGCCACTCATTCAACCCACAAACATTTCTTGTTAACCTACTAGGCGCCCAGAAAGGTGGAGACTCCAAGGTGGGGCGCTGGGGGAGAAGCCCACCAGGAGAGGCTCCCCAGTGCTCACCCAGCTCCCTCTCCTGCCTCCTCCCTCCCGGCCTCTCCCCCTGGTATGGAAACCACCACTCCTAGAAAGCTCTCCGACCCCGGAGGAGCCCAGTTAAGTCCCGCTGCAGAAAGGACCGGTGCCGCCCTGGGCCACGCGGCTCAGTGCTTAGAGCGCCGGCCCACCCACTGAAGGGTAAGGGTCACGGGTTCGATTCTCGGTCAAGGGCAGTACTGGGTCACAGGTTCGATCCCGCCCCATTGGGGCGCATGCAGGAGGCAACCAATCCGTGCCTCTCTCACATGGATGCTTCTCACGTTCTCTTTCTCTCGCTCTCTCCCGCTCCCTCCTTTCACTCTAAAAATCAATGGAAAAATATCCTCGGATGAGGATCAACAACAGCAAGAGCGCCCGCGCCCCCAAAGCCTCCCTGGAGGGATGAGAGGTCCGCAAGGCGTCCCTGCGGGGCTCCGCCCTGACCCGGGCATTCACGAGGTCCGGGAACCCGGACCCAACCGCGGAACCCGAGGGCGGGGCGGGGCGCCGGGTGTGGGCGGGGCTCCGCGCGGTGGGCGGGGCTCCGCGCGCCCGAGGGGCGGGCGGAAGCCGGGGCGCGACTGGCTCACCTGGCGGTAGTGCAGCGTGAACGGCTGCAGGTAGGGCGAGGCTGCGCAGCGGCTCACGGCCGCCCCCTCGATGCGCTCCATGCGGCGCGCGGAACAGTGGGGCTGCGGCGGACGCAGCGGAGTCCACGCTGCACTGGGGCGAGCGGCCGCGTGACGCCGCTCTGGGCATGCGCAGTGCCCGCGGGGCGGGCCGGCGGGCAGGGCTGTGCGCGCAGGTAGCGCCTGCGGCGGCCGCGCGCGCGCACGGGGTTGGGGCGCGTCTCCGGCCCCAGGCTCGCGGAGTGTGCGCGGCGGGCGCGGCCGTGCGGGTCCGAAGGGCGATCGCCGGTGCGCTGGGACTTGGACGGCTGGGAGAGAGGGCTTCGCGGAGCGGTTCTGCCGGGGATGAGCCGAGCGGGTGCCTACCCCGCGGGGTCCACGGGCGCCCCGAGATGGGTTCGTCCAGAGGCGGGGCGGCCCCCGGGAGGGAGAGGCTGGGCCTCGAAGAGGGAAGTTGGCGGTCCCGGCCGCCTAGGGAGCCAGCGACAGGAGGAAAGGAGGTCACTGGGGCAGCGTACAGGGGTCGTGGCGCGGGCGGGTTGGGGCTGAGAGTGTGGACACCCCTAGGGAGCCTCGTGGCTGCGAAGACAGAAGGCTCTGGAAGGGGGGCAAGGTGAAAGGAGCGTAAGTGGGGAAGGCAGAACCAAGACCCCCCTCCCCTAGGTTCCTGGGGTGGGGAAGCTGGCCTAGGGCCGACCGTGCACCTGCCCCACGGGGAGGAGCTGCGGGGAGCCCCTCCCTCAGGAGCGAGCGCTGTTCCTCCCCCTAGAGCCCCTTTTCCCTGACAGCCCTCCCTGGCTGTGGAAGAGCCCCATCTTTCCTTGGGTGTGGATCCCAAGGACCCCTCCAAATGTGGCCACTGCCTCCCCGGGGGCGGGTACAAATGGTGGGGTGGGGGAACTAAGCTCTTACCCTGCTCTCTGAACTGTGGCCCCAGGAGGGTCAGCCCAGCTGGGGTTGGCCATGTGGCCTTGAGTTTTACTACTATGTTATCTATTGCGTGTAAAAAAGCACCCCAGAATCTCGTGGCTTAGAGCACCATTTGTTGCCTCCTGTGGTCCCTGAGAGGTGGCCCTGGCTGGCCTGGACAGCTCTACCCCTGTTTTTCTGGGGCTGTGGATGGGGACAGTGAGGCTAGAATCTTCTGAAGGCTCCCTGGGACACATGTCCAGCGTGGCTTCTTTGCCCAGGTCTGGTGCCTCAGTTTCATGGCGGGAGCAGCGGGCGGCTGACTGTGTCACAGTGTGTGGCCTCTCCCATGTGGCTGGCTTGCGCTTCCCCACAGCAGGGCGGTCTCAGCACTGGGTTCTTCCATGGTGGCCAACTCCCCCAGCACACAGCCACTCGGCCAGCCCCATGACCCAGCCTGGGAGGTCACGCATTGTCATTTCCACCATGTTCGGTGAGTCCTAGGCCACCCCAGATTCTGGGGAGGGGACTTCGCAAGGGTGGGAACGCTGGGAGGCATGGTTCATAGGGGTTGTCATCAGAGACAAGCTGTCATCGCTCCCGCTCCACAGGGGGTTGTGCTTCCCAAACTTGCCCAGGTGTCCTGGGGGCTGGAGAGACCACCCACCAGAGAATAGATGCCAGAAGCCGCCCCGCCCACCAGCAACCAGCCAAGCGGGCCTCTTCCGCCCTGTGCACGGGGCCCAGGGTGCTCCAGCCTGTGGTTGTGTGGAAGTGAGGACTGATTGCAGTTTGCACTGCAGCGGCCAGACCCAGCAGGCACACGGGGCCACCCTAGGAAGCATCTCCACAGAGCGTCAGTGTCTTCGTGTTTGGGGGAAGTCACGCATTCGTAGAAAGCATGCTGAGGGGCTGACAGTGTGGGTTGCAGGACTAACGTGCCCACAGTGCACCAGCAATGTGCCACCCTGTGGGAAACAGGCTGGCAGGCCCAGAGACAGCTCAGCAGAGTCCCCCCACCGTGTGACCCCCGAGGAATGGAAAACGGACTCAAAACATACTTGGAAGCTGAAACCCGTGTGTAGATCAATAGGTGACGGTGAGCACACTGGCCTGGCCACACAGCAGCGCAGTCACCATACAGAGGGATGGTGCTGACACCTGCCACAACACAGATGGACCTGGACGTTAGCTGCTGGAAGGAGCACACGTGAAGAGCCACGTGTTTCGTGGTCCATTTATGTGGAACATCCGGCATAGGTAGATCCATACACGGAAATCAGATTAGAGGTTGTCGGGCTGGGGCAGGGGGTGGAGAGGGGCTGCTTAGTGAGGGTGGGGGTTTTCTTTGGGGGTGAAAGGATATTCTGGAACTCCATAGTGGTGGTTGCACACCGTTATGAATGCACTAAATGCCATTATACACAGTAAAAGGGTTTGTGTTACATAGATCTCAGTTCAGCTTTTTTAAAATGAAGACGTACCAATGAGCCCTGGATGGTTTTTCTCAGTGGTTAGAGCCCTAGCCCAAGGACCAAAGGGTCACAGGTTCAAGGGCACTCGTACCTGGGTTGCAGGTTCCCTGGCCCTGGTCAGGGTTATTCAGGAGGCAGCCAATCAATGTGTCTCTCTCACATCAGTGTTTCTCTCCCTTCCTTCCAGTCTATCTAAAAAAATCAATGGAGCCCAGCTGGTGTGGCTCAGTGGTTGAGCGTTGACCCATGCACCAAGAAGTCGCCGGTTCGATTCCTGGTCAGGGCACATGCCCAGGTTGTGGGCCCAGTCTCCAGTGGGGGGCATGCAGGAGGCTGCCAATCAATGTTCCCTCTCATCAATGTTTCTATCTCTCTCACATCCTCTCTCTCTAAAAATCAATAAAGAAAAAAAATTTTTTGTTTAAATCAATGGAGAAGTATTCTCAGGTGAGGATTAACCAAAAAAAAAAAAAAAGAAGAAGAAGCAGAAGAAGAAAATGTAGCAGCGAGCCTGTTCAGGGGCATTTCATGCTGGCCATGATCACTCAGCCAAGTCCCCACACACCTGGGGCCAGGTCCAGGCCACTGCAGCCTCACGGAAGACATAGGGGTGGAAGTGAGTTTTTACAGGGGAGCACGAGTCTGGCCATTTTTCTGGAGTGTCTAGTGTGTCCAGGCAGCTCAGAACTGGGGCTGGGGTCAGAGGGGACCGCGGGGCCTCTGGGCAGCCACCACTGGATCTGACCCCGTAGGGGCTTCGGAGACCCTGCTGTGAGTGGTGGTCTGACCACAGAAGTCCGACACAGCCTCGCGTCTTCCCCACCTGAGGGTCCTTTCCTTGATCACATCTTTGCTGAAGGGTCAGGGTGTGGACACGGAGCACAGCTGGACCCATCCACATCAGAAGGGTCTGGGCGAGTGGGGCCTCGGGCAGGTTGGGGCCACGGGACACCCTGTGGTGGCTGCAGGTGCTGGCAGGACACCCAGGAGGCTCCCGCTGGCTGCCACCTCCCTTTTCTATGTATAAGGTGAGGATGAGGTGGGAGGGGGTGTGTCTGCGCAGGGGGTCCCCACAGGGGAGGGGGCAGGAACCCCGGGGTTCGATACCGGGGTAGCCAGGTGAGCGGGGCTTCCTGGCAGCAGTGGGCTGGAGGTTGCCCTGGGCGGGTGGACATTGGTTTCCTCCAGGGCTCAGCCTTTTCCCAGATGGGTGACAGGTGGCCCGCAGGTCTAGAGAAGCGAGCATACTGGTCAGGCAGTTTCTGACATGACAAACCTGGAGGAGGACACCATACCAGTCCCTTAGGGCTCCCTGTTTCAGTGTCGGAGCCCCCGGTACCTCTGGCCTGAGCTGCACAGACGCAGTGTCCACTGACCCTGCCTCCCGCTCCAAGCACAGGTCCTCCGGAGGACCCCAGACCTGCAGGGGCCAGGGGTCAGCTTTCAGGCTTCCTCTTCCGTCCCAGCGCCCTGTGCCGGTTCCTGCTCCGACTCACATGGCCACGGGGGCGGAGAGGCCCAGTCTGCGCCCTGAGCTGGAGGCCAGGGCAGATCCAAGGGCGGCAGGCAGAGAGCGACTCCCTCCCTCTGCCTTGTGTTCCCTGCAGACCCACCCGGGGGAGGCCGCCCACACCGAGAAGGCCACGGCTTCCCTCGGGTCACCATCCACATGCTTAACCTCATCCAGACGCCCTCAGACAGCCCCGAATAGCGTCCCACCAGATATCAGGGCGCCGGGCCCAGCCCAGCTGACATAAAATGAGCCATCACAGAAGGAAAGGAGAAAACAAGGCAATGGTTAAAAGAAAATTCTAGCCCTGGCCGGTTTGGCTCAGCGGTTAAAGCGTCGGCCCGTTGACCAGTGAGTCGTGAGTTTGACTCTGGTCAAGGGCACGTACCTCGGTTGCAGTTCGTCCTCAGCCCTGGTCAGGTCGTGTGGGAGGCAGCCGGTCGATGTGTCTCTCTCACATCGATGTTTCTCTCTCTTTCCCTCCCTCCCTCCCACTCTATCTGATGATAAGTAGAAAAATGTCCTCAGGTGAGGAATGAAAAAACAAACAGAAAATGCCACTTGGAAGGCAAGGTGAGCAGCGCGTACTTAGTGTGCTGCGAAGCGTGCTCGCTCCCGAAGGAAGCGCCCAGGCCCGGTGTGGCTGAGGTCCCAGGCGCACACACGCAGAGGGAAAAGGACGGAGGCGTGTGTGTGTGTGTGTGTGTGTGTGTGTGGAGATGGGTGTGTGTGCGTGTGCATGTGTGTGTACCTGCATGTACAGAAAAGCTGAACCCTCCAGGGCCAGGAGGCTGAGGTGGGGACACCTCTCCTACATCCACCTTGCCCGCACCTCACCTCGTAGGCCCAGCTTCGGCTGTGGGCGGTCACCTCCTGGTGTGCTCAGGGAAGGCTATGCGTCCCCTGTGCCTGGCCCAGACGGTGGAGGTGAATGGTCATTGGTCCTCACAGTGGGGACGCCTGGGCCAGGGTTTCCCTCCAGTTTGCAGAGACACTGCTCCCCTTTCCTGATGCCTGGGCCTGACATCATCTCCCCCGTGCAGGAGCCCCAGGTCCTCCTTGTTCCGCTGCCGCAGGGCTGCCATCCCACCTCCGTCAGGTCCTGTTGACCGTTACCAGGGTGAAGGAGCACCACTGACTCTTCGACGCTTCAGTGAAACATGTCCCACGTGCAAAAGAACATGTAAGAGGTGTTTCTATAGTGT